CTGCGGATGGCAGAATCACTAGGGAAGCATAATAGAGCGGTTTGGGATGAAAAATATCTTTGACAGTCCTCCCACTTCCGCTATTAACAATGGAAGCTCCGCTGCCCGTAAACGATCTGGGAAGGTTTGCTACAGTGTCTGATAAAGTAAATCCTTTCGATATCACTTGAAATTAACCCAAATAAGACATGGCTGGACTGATCTGAGGCAAAAACCTCGTGATAAGCACAAAAAAATAAAAAAAATAAAATTCTGTTCCCCACAAGACTGCATTAAATCTGCACCCCACTTGAGAGTGACCATTTCCATACCTATAGCTATAGACAAGTGCAGTGTCCAATGCAGTTTACAAGCTTTACAAAACACCAGAGCCGTTTGTAATCTTCTGGGGGGTAATTGGCCACGGCTGACTCATAGGTTCCATTTTATAAGCACTGATTATAATTGTGGTGACCGACGCTGCGACGAGGAGGTGGTTGATGCAACGAGGACGATGTGCCACATTCAGTGATTTCTCACGATGGAAAAAAGTTGACCACAGCACCTCTCATTTTACTTTTAAAATTGTCAGGTGTTCATCAGGCGAGCAGCCTGCAACTCTCCGCCATTCCTACGTCTCAGTTCCAGCGGTGCTTGAAAAAAGGCATCACAAGATTAAGCATGAGGTCACAAGGACATAAGCCTATAAAAGAGCATCGTAAGAGAAGGAGTCGAATTACGCTTAATGGGAAACGTTGACCCGCTATTGGTGGTCGTGCAGACCGCTATCAATGCCCGTCGCATGCGCCAGCAGATCCTCTACGACCGCCAACTCTTCACCAACCTACCTCTTCGACCGTGCTGGGAACGTGACCTGATGCCGGATCGCAGCCAACAACTCCTCCGATGGATGCCGTAAAACTTATACTGGCAACAAACAGTTACAACAAACGAGATCTCTACCTTTCCGCATTTAGACTTTATGCACACCAGTGATATCAATTAAAGTATTTACAAATACGCCTACACCCTTTTTGCCTCCTCAGTCTGGAAGTTGAAAGGTGCTTCGAATGAAACATGCTATACACGGCCATTTCAACAGTTCATTACAGTTTCGCCATTACCACTAGTAAATCTTGACAGTTACACTACTTTCGATGCCAGCAGCACAAGATCTTCGCAATTTCGTCTCGCCAAATATCCAAAATATTTGTTTTATAATCGCTGAGCATATCGCTATAACCAGATTGATTAGTAGAATGGGGAGTATTCAAAAAAATACCCCAAAAAACGCAAGAAATTATTCTTTACTCAATGAGAAGAAGAAAGTTAACCTACTTCCCTTTCCTCCTCCAACATCAAAAAAGAGCTCAAAAGTGGACTACTAAGAAACTCCAAAAATTTGTCATAGAGCTATCACTCCTAGCTTTGCGCTGAGGAAAGCTGATCCGAACGTGACACGTTTAATGTGATGAATAATCGACTGTGTAATTCCCCAAAACTGGCATCAAAATCATTGTTATCGTTAGTGGCACTTATAAACAAGGGTTCAAAAGACGAAGACAAAGTTAGTAGTCTCAGTCACTGTGATTTCAATTCGACGTCAGATTTGAGATGCCCCTTTGTTCCAAAACAGCCTTGACATCCATTTTCAGGGTGTGCAACTGATCCACAAAGTGTGGCCGGCCGTACCGACGGAAATGCAGTGCATCCTCAGTCGGTAGCTCCACATTGGCTAACTTATCCTCACCCCCTATAGTGCGTGCGGTCACAACCTCCAATGGAGGACCGCCCTCCAACATGGCAGGCGTCTCAACGCCTTCTCCGCGCTTGACAACAATCATGGTGTGTTCGAATTGGGCTGATCGCGAACCGTCGATTGTGACGGCTGTCCACTTGTCTGGCCATAACTCGTCTCTCCAGCTGCCCTCGTTGATCATTGGCTCGATCGTGAAACAATGACCTGGAGCTGTCGATCCCACAGCTTTGTTTTCTGCCGGTAAAAAATAGAGGGCCGTAGAGCATGTGCTTAAATTTATTTGGTAGGTAGAATTTTGTACAAAGCACAATGCATGACCGGAGGAAGTGAGCATGACATACAAAAACTTTTCGTCAATTTACACCATACAAGCCCCAATTCATGCTGCTTTGTGAATAAGTGTCTTCAGTTGCAAATGCCAATCAACAGAAATTTTTACCGGTAGCACAAGTATATCTGAAAGAAGTCTGAGAGGCAAGGTTACGTTGTAAACAACTGAGAAACCAGAAGTAAAAACAAGAAAAGTCGCATAGAAACAGATTTAATTTGTCAATTTTGCCAAAACTGTTTTATTGCTACACAACCGCTCCTACGAAAAACCATCACTCAGAAAAAATCCACACGGCATCTCTGCTGCGCATTTAAAACAAAACCATTTGTAACTCAAGTAATAAAACTCATTCGTACAGGGTGAAATAGCCGAAATTGGTGCTTAATGACCCAGTAATTCAATGGCTACCATAAAGCAAATAGGTAGAATCCAAAAGAAAGCATTCGATAAGCAAGGTTTGATGAATACTGACTTACGAGCATAGTGGGGTATGTTGGGTGGACAGTGGAAGAGTCTATGCACACCATGGCCGCAGTAGGTTCGCACCACCGAAAACCCGTCAATATTCGCGTGCCGTTGAATGACGTCTCCCATCTCGCGATACTTCATTCCCACACGAACTACAGTGGAGAAAACATTGCAAAATCAACGATACATTGATTTTATCAAACTGGTTAACTCATTAGAAAGCAGTTGCAGTCACTGGAGAAGGTGATCTATGAAAGGGTTTATTTCATTCTGAAACCTTTAATTTTGCAAACAGCACCCAGTAGTTTATAAAGTACCCGCATTTCTCTTTTGACCCACCTTACGTTTAAATAACACTTAAAAGGCACTGCAGTACAACCGTACCACAATAGAGGAGTTTGTTTGTCTATATGCAAAGCGTGCGCTGACTTTTCCGATCCCACCGAAGGATTTGTCTTCAGCCGTTTCAAGTTCATAAAAAGCGCTCAGGATAAACCGGCATCCCATGCGCCACGTATTAACATTTCATGCCCATCGGGATCCGAGGACCACATTGACTAGGATAATTTGGGTTGGGTGTTTTAGAGATAGTTCATTTAAGTCGTTCAAATATTTTACTACAGTGCAATGTGCAAATTCTTCTGCGTATAAGTGAGCTTTCACTTTCGTGGATGCACGCATACAATAAGATAGTTACGCACAAGCGCAAATTGTCCATGCTCGACATACACG